ACGTTGAGCCATTACGTTGGTGGCGAGAGTCCGGGCCACGGAGAGCCGTACGTTGGGCACGGAGTCCCAGCTGAGATCCAGGAGATGTGGCAGGATGTCGCGCGCAAAAAGTTCCTCGGGCAGAATTTGCTTTGTGACGAGCTGTGAACAGAGCAGCGCGAAGATCTGACGCTGATTCCACCTCTTGCTGTGAACAAACCATTCTGCCAGCGCTGCGAGTAGGCTTCGTAGCGAAACGGGCTGCGCAGACACGTGCTTCACCACCTCCGTCAACTGGATTGTTCGCAACGTACAAAATTAATTTATAACCAAATTTGGGAGATCTGTAGATCTTAACTTTGACATAAACGAGCATTTTCTCTCTGACAAACAAACAAGTTACTTTTGCATCCGACTGCTGGACAGATATACACCGTGTTTCAAAAGTAGCTTTACAACTTCGCAGGAGAATATAAATTTATTTAAGAACCCGAAATCTCGTCAAGCAAAAAAAAAAATATTTACTGCTCTTTTATATAAACCGAACTTACTAGGCACAATGCGACCTGCCGCACGGCTGCCACCTTATCGTGCAGCAGCGAGACGGCAATGGGACTGATGTGTTTCCTGGTGTCTTCTGGAGTGAACAGATTAACGGCGGCCAGCAACTGCTCCGCCAGTTCTTCACGAAACCTCCAGTTCCAATCGTTATCTGTCAGCAAGAATTCCGATAGTCGAGGAAGGTACAAATTTCGATCTGGAGGCCGCAGGAGCTGGAATATTACGTCGTCAAGATCAGAACCAAAAAAAAAATCAAACGAAGATCCAGCTAACGTATTTTCTAAATGCATAAATAATATTAATGCTGTAATAACTGTATTCAGTCCCTTGGGGACTATTTTCAGGGAAATGGATAATAAACATGTTGTCAGATGCGTCGTTTTTATTTAAGTCACGACCTATTTTATTAATTTTTTGTCGCACTGTGTAGTCCTCCTTTATCAATAATTATACATAATTCCTCTCTCCTCAAGGTCCAACACTAACAGAGTAAGACTTTCACAGGCCACGATCCTCATTCCCCTCCCACGCCCACGTCCGAACTTCTAGGATGGATCTTCGCATTTGGAGGTTTTACTTGGGCGATCCCTCAAGTGTTTAAAAATCTGGAATGCCTGTTTTGAACGTGTGGACCACTCTCGAAGGCGCGAATAATTCGCGCAGAAGGACGACGGCCAATAAAGACGATGACGTCTATGGAGTACCGTCGCGATACAGTGAGAATATTGGAGAGAACAAATCCGTACATGGAAGACATCATCACCTTCAGAAACTCTGCAAGATGTTTCAAAGCACCAATTCTGACTTCATCTAAGTCTTTGATAAAGCCATTGAACACTGGAACGAGGTCCTTGGTTGCCAAGTCCTCTCCGAGAATCACAGCCAGCTGATGAATACTTGAGGCCACTGTACGCCTCACCTTCCACTGTAAATATAAGAAATTAAATTACTGCAGTACGATCATCGAGCCAGATTTTGGGCACCCACGTGTGTGACGTAGGATTTTCCGCTCTCGCCTTCATAAAGAGCACGTGACGAAACTGTTTGCTGAACCCCAAATAAGACGTGAGGTGTGCTGTTCTCCGAATGCTCCCAATTTTTTTGCGGAACTAGTAAATGAGATGGAGCAGTGGCGTTGTGCTCATTAGCGGTGACCTGGGCGATGAAATATTCATGGCGAATAATTACCAAATTTTTTGTGGCTGCTAAAATGTTTAGAGACGCTTAAAATAACGACAATGCATCCCTATTTCTTACCGATCTCTCTTCGTTTGTCATATGTTTTCTGTGCAGTTGGTGTTTTACGTACATTCGGTAAAAAGGACTTTCTCTGACAATCGGTTCTGGGCAACGAAGGAAAAAGTTTGGGAAGCAGTGTCTTAACCGACCGCCCACCTACCGTACGATGTCAATTCTGCTTCCAGCAAATTGTAAATTATTACCTGCATGTCAGAAGCCAACGCGTTGTAAGCATCTTTGAGCAAAATCCAGTTGTCCTGCCCCAGAGTGAGGGCCACAGCTGGTAAACTGAAGGCACAATGGTGCGCTATTTCGTTGTCAGTCTTCTGGGCCTGTGACGGGTGCGTCATGGACACGAAGTGATCGATGAGCTGCTGAGGTACGATGTCCTGGCTCGCCTGTGAAGACGCCGGCCGCTCAACTACTCCTGCAGGGTCGAAATGCTGAGGCGGCCCCTCCCAGTGTTTCTCTGCAACGTCTGCCCAAGATTTATACGGTTTGTACTCTGTTTTCTGAGGGGGGGCGGCTAGAACAAAGGAAAACTGACTTTTGCCGGTCATCCAGATTTGGGATAATGATTCTGAAAAATTTTGGGGGTGCCCCCGCCCCCCAAATCTAATGCTACGTGCCGAACAAACTGAAAATACCCCGTTCTTATCATAACCCTGGAAGAAACGAAACGCTGGACAAGAATTCAATAAGTCTCTTTAACAAATTTAAACAGCGGATAGTTCAAAGTGCATGACTTTCATGTTCACTCTAAAGACTTTTAAATGGCCGAACAGGCCCGGTGGCCAGATTTCGAGCGTCACCTCACATAATACAGGTTTAATACAAGACATCTCAGTACTCACTTCTAACTTCCCCCGAATGAAACCACATAACAGCCCTCTGAATACTGGAATTAAGCGTCATTGTATTTTCCACACCTTGCTTGTCTGTGTCAGTCACCATAGCGACACTGGCGGTACAGATCTGTACGTTGTGTGGCTTCTCCTCCTCCCGATATTGAAGAGAACATTCTTGAAGCTTTGTTGACAGATTCTCCAACTCAGTCTGTAATTTCAAATAAAAAAAATATATAAAACACTAACTTCGATGATCTCGGGTGTGAAGACCATCCACACGAGATTAGTTCAGTGATCAATTTTCAATAAAATATTTATTTTTTATCAGCTTTTGATTCATTTAACGGCACTCAATCAGGTGTACATTACATAGCAATGAATGACAGAATCTTCTTCAACGATCGACTATTACGATATACTATTAAGAGCATCATGATCACTCACGTCTATATCCATGTCGACGTTCAGTTCGGACGCATATGTCCGCTGCATGGTTTCGTCAGTAACCTTAGCTTTCACATGCACTGTAGTGGGTTTGCCTGTTTCAGCCAAGCTAATATCCAACTGCAGTTCTGGTATAGGAACACGCCAATACTGGAATGTATTGAAAGTTTCTGCACCGTTTAACGGGTTGCTCTCTACGTGGACGTGGACGTGGCCTTTCGGCTCGCTCACGTGAAGCTGTTTCCTCTCAACCCCACCGCACGCCTGCAGCTTCGCGCCACTAGGTTCAGTCACTTCCTGTACATTCTCTCTGACCGCACTTGAGCTTCTGTCATCCGAACATCCTTCTTCTGTTTTTATATCCGTTTCTTCAACCCATCTTACTTCTGCCTTCTCCTCTTCAATATGCCCTCCGTCCGTATCATCCTTTACCGGAAATTCAGAACTTTCATCCGTAACCAAATTTGAGTCTCCGCTCACAGTCCTCTGATCACACGCACTTGGAATCAAATTTGACTTTTCCACCTTGAAGTCCTGAACTAACGAACCCATGCCACACTCGACATCACAGCAATCTGACTCATCATTATGAAAGGCATCTTTATATCTCACGGACAACGGAATATTTTTACTATCATCTGCCTGACACGAAACTTCAGCCATGTCTCTATTTACATTATGATTAGTGCCATTTGTATTTAAAGTGCCAGCACCACAATTGAATTCAGCGAGAACCCTCGCACATTCAATATCACTCACTCGATGGGACGTCAACCTGCCAGCAAAGACAAATGGTATTAGTACCACACAAAACCTTACATTTTAATGACAACTAAATATAATCGGAACTTACTTCACGACAGCCTGTGTTTTGGGTAACCAGTATGATGGCTGACGGTAGCATAGCTACTGGTAGGGACTCCCTAGCCGGATTGGTCGAGGGGGAGAGGTACCCTGGTCCTCCAGGTTGGGGGTTGGTCGCAAGGCTAACAACCTTGCACCGTAAAAAGGAAGATGTTTTGAAACCTCAATCAAAGCCTCGGACAGACGGACCTAACAGAGGACCGAATGGAAGAGGAGAATTGAGGAGGCCATGGACCGAATACGGACCGGAGAGCCATAGAAGAAGAAGAAGTATGACGACTAACAAAGGCAGGCCAATATGCAAAATTAATGAATCCCATTCTTCAAACAGCCAATTATAACCCACATGGAGAAGGCAAAGCCACGCTGTCAGCCATCCGAGAAACGACGCACGACCTGGATGTGACACTGACAGTTTACCGGACTCAATAACGCTTAATAATTTGAAATATAGGAAGAACCTAGCGTGCCTGAACTGGATTCCAGGATGACTAGAGTGATTCATAACATTTTATTGTCCAACGCAATGTACAGTATTCAGAGAAAATATTCCCCACCAAAAGCACAACTGCCGGGCCCCTCATCAAATAAAATGCTATTTCAGGCACAGGATTTGAGACGTTCGCGGCGAGTACAATCAATAAAAACTTCTTGGGCGACTTCCGAGGTATCCAGTCACATCGGAACCCTGAAGATGGGGACAGAGTTGGTTCCCGAAACGTCCGGTCTACTACGGCAACCAGTTGACACGGCCGATTACCCGAGAAGATTTTATCGAATATTTCAGACCTTTGTTATGCATCAGGCAAGGTACAGCACTGGCATGTGACGTCATGTAACACTCTTTAGTGAGACACGATCACGATCAACCTATAAAATTCTCGAGTTGAAATATATGGGCGTATGATAGTGCCACTGATTTATTAATTGAAGAAAAATACTTCCACATCATCACTGCCACTTCTGGAAAAAATTCATTATACAAAGTGACACGGCTAATAAAACTAAGATCAGACCTGAATTCAAAACCGTCTGGGCCCAAAATCACAAGCTCCCCATTTTGATTGTACGACAATCTTGTGATACTGGGATCTGCAAATGTAGAAATGAAAGGTCCCAGAGTCTTATACGCCGACATGCGCACCCAGCGAGACTGGTCGACCAGCAAGTTGACAAACACTGGCGCAAGATTCTGTTTTCTCGTCTGCAGGGTGCACACGCAAGACACGGACATGAACACCTCCGCGCACGCCTTGCGTACTCCCCAAATCTCATCTTCACATAGGTCCACAAAACGAGGAAGCTGAAACAATGATGGAAATGTGGTGTTAAGAGATGAAGCCGAATCAGGCACGTTCAACACCATATAAATTTTTGGCCACTCACATTTACAAATGAATGTGGACTGAATAATGATCATGTAAAGATCAATTGATTCAAAATATCTTCGTTATATGTTATCATCAGTTATTTGGTGAAACTGTCATACCCCCCCAAGAGTGATGAGAAAGTTTCTAGTGGCCTCTTCTAATCCCGAGGACACTAAAAACTTTCTAATCCTTCCTTTCCACTTCACGTGGTCTCCAAAAAGTTCTTTCATCGCCTCTTCTCCTGGCACCTGGTCCTGATAAGGGCTGATCTCCATCACATTTCTCTTTCCACGTAATTCATGAAACCCTTACACATCCTCCTTTCCTGATTCACCAATACCTCCCCAGTCTCCTCTTTCTTTCAACAAGCACCCCTTAAAAGCTTTTCGTTGCGTCTTTCCTTAACCACTCATCGCAAATTAGACAGCAGCCCACTCTATATAAGTTTTCCAAAAAAACAACCAACACATATTCACCCTGAAGATGACAACTAAAACTTTGTAAAAACGCTAGATAATTTCAACATTTGACATGACTCATCCCCAAAAGCCAAAGTTGTACACTGGAGATAAACCTGAGGCGGACGCACGCCTACAATCTCAAGCTCGCCGAGCCAGACTCGCAAGTCAGACTCGTACGTGGATGGGCCGCTTTAGAGTGTTGATACCACATGTCGCAACAAGACAAACGAAATTACACAACTGTTCACATATTTCTTGATTCTTTGTTTCGGAAAGCGAAGGAAGCCGCACTAAAGTCTTGAGAATTTAGTGCAAGTACTTACAAGGACACTTTCAGTAGATTCTGTTCCAACAATAGCACAAAACTCGCCAAAGTTAGCGGCGCAAGCCTTACGCACGCAAAATACCGGATCGGTACACAGAGCGGCAAATCGACCCAGGAACAGCCGTTCTGTAGAACTGCGGCCAATCAGCGGTGCCATCTTGCTCATTAACTGTAAAACAATGTTTCATTTGCCGTTAGTCACAGAAACAAACCGAATGATGATTTAAAGGAGAAATTTCTCAAGTGATATCGATTACGATCAGCAAAATACAAACGATATGGGTGTGTGTCGCCATGAATATTAGTTACTTCACATTCAGATCACTCTCTTGATATTTCATATTTACTCGAACACAGGACAGTCATCTGTACAGAAATCATATACAATCCAGTTCCAAGAAAACACAAGCTCACCTTTGAGTACTAGACTATGACCAGCACACGCAGATGTACACAGAGCCCCTTTGCGCTCATCAAAGCTGGCTGTGATATGAAACAAATAAGGACACATCACAGCCACTCTGACGGGAGCAACCGGGCGTCCCAATTTTCATAGGGTATTTCTCTCTGCACATACAAGCTCTGGACGGCAACATCTTTCTTGAATGATAGCGACAATTAAGTTACAGTACATCAAATTCTGCCACCACGTAACATTTTTAATTGCAATAGTTGTAAGAAAATGAAACGCGTGTTTTACATCGTAATACATACAACAAATATAACAAAAGTTTTGTTACAGATTCGCCTGAAATAAGGGTTGTATTGGACCAGAACAAAATTCACATAATTTTCAGTGCAGACAACAAACAAAATTTAACCATAAAAGGTACAGTTCAGCCAACCTTTAACCTTTGTTCTACAAACTGGACGAAGGCGACAGGTCCTTGAATTTGCTCTAGATGAAAATAGAAACAGCTTTTTAAATCCAAAATTACAAACTTAAATGATATTGACATATTAACACGTGCAAAAAAAAAATTGATGCGTGGTACCGCTACGTGCGAGCGTGTTGAGCACTGCTTCGAGTCCCGCTCATCAAAGCTGGCTGTGATATGATGCATACCACGTGACATATCACAACAACTTCGTGAGTGGCACAGGAAAAGCACGGCTGAAATCCCTGTTGCTGTATCGCTGGGTCGTCTTGTCCCACAGCCCAACTCGTCAAAAATGGCTGTGATATGACATGCATCCACACATCACAACCATTTTGACTGGCGGGTCACAGGCATCGATTGCAGACTTCAACGTAAATTCTCCCTCTATATTATCATTTATGTTATTGGGTGTAGACTGGATTGACAGAATTAAAATCCTGGAAGTGGTCTGAAGAATTTCTTGATTCACCACAGCCTTCTATTCAGTTACTGAGGGTTCCTTTTCCAGACACAGAGGGGCTGATGCATGAAGCTGAGAATTCATCTTCATCTAGAGCTCAGGAGAAGACCTGGTAAAGTCTATGTCCCTCCGTCTGCCTTAACCGAGTGCGGAGAACTTACACTTCAGTTGCAGCGAAAGCTTCACCGATACTCGCTGAACATTATTTTTACCCCATCTCATGTTGTGCGAAAGAGCGATTTCACTTAGAAATATGTCCCGCTATCAGAACCGATAAAACAATTTGTGTCACCTCGATGACAACTTACATGGGCGGGTTCGGCAGCCAGTACGCAGTGGTCGTTGTGCTGACACGAACAGTGTCTATTGATTCGTTTCTGTCGTTACACTAATTCTCGTGAGATTTCTCTGTGTTTGTGTTGGCAACTGTGATTTACAGTACTGAATAAAATGCATTTCTTTCCGAGCATAAATAAAACCACTAATTAGACTGCGCAGTAGGGTGTCATCACCCAATGAAGGCGAAACCCGTCCGCTGCTCCGAGATTTGCTCTACGTACAGACAGAATTTAGGCTATAAACAAAGGAATTAACAAATCTTTACGTTACAAAGAAAATATACATCAGCGAGTGTTTCTAGACTGCCTAGTACCAAATAAATACAGAAGTTTGCCCATCAATAATCGATCACATGCAGACAGAATTCAATACTTTGGTTGCTGTGCTCAACGAGTTATTTTAATTACCTTAAATTCTGTATTAATTCCATCAAATTATTTAGTTACAAGAACAAGATCACACTCAACAACAAATCGCTCTGACCAAGTCATCTTCGAACTTTTCATTTATTTTTGCCGACAGTTCCGAGACACTAGCTCATCAAAGTGGCTGTGATATGAGTACTGAATATCAACATTTCACAACCAGATAGATGACCAGGTCCTCGGAATAACCTCCTGCTACACCAGAACGGAAGTTTCTCTTGAAGTAAACGCGAAGGAGATTGCGGATCAACTTTCTGCTCATCAAAGCTGGCTGTGATAGTGAGATTTACGAACGCTATGACAAACCAGCTTTGATGCGAGAATCTTGTCCATTCGCGTCAGGGGCCGCCGCCACGATCGCAGTCGATGACAGTCACAGCCGCATGAAAGACAAGGTAGTGAGATGCAAGATCCAAAACTAACATCTCACTACCCATGTCTTTCACTTGGCAGTGACTACACTGATGTCGTAAGTTCTTCGTTTCTTCGCCTTTTACCAAATACTCTGAGTTCCAAAGATTATTATATACGCTATATTACAGCACTAATGAGGATGATAATTATGACGACACATAAATGAGCTGGTTCCGCTCTATTTTAAAGCGATGTCCAGCAGCTATCTGGACAGAATGAATAAAACTGCTGACGAACACCAAACAAATAAAGCAGTCAATCAAACCATGAAACTCTCAAATACAAAACAGGACAGCTAACCACTTAGACGTGGTATTTATCGGAAAGCATGTTCAAAACGACAATTCCCTGCCGCACACTAACTTCAAGTATGTGCAGTTATCAATTTGCATCAAGTTTTGTAAATTTCAGCATCTGATTAAGATTTGAGGTTTTCACAGCGGTCAGTATGAAGATTTCTGTCTTCTGGGTTGTTGCGCTGTGTAGTCTGGTCGACGTTAACCAACATTTCCAACGCCTCCGTCATCAGTATGACCTCTGAAACGTTGGTTAACATCGACCAGACTACACAGCGCAACAACCCAGAAGACAGAAATCTTCATACCTATAAACAAAGGAATTAACAAATCTTTACGTTACAAAGAAAATATACATCAGCGAGTGTTTCTAGACTGCCTAGTACCAAATAAATACAGAAGTTTGCCCATCAATAATCGATCACATGCAGACAGAATTCAATACTTTGGTTGCTGTGCTCAACGAGTTATTTTAATTACCTTAAATTCTGTATTAATTCCATCAAATTATTTAGTTACAAGAACAAGATCACACTCAACAACAAATCGCTCTGACCAAGTCATCTTCGAACTTTTCATTTATTTTTGCCGACAGTTCCGAGACACTAGCTCATCAAAGTGGCTGTGATATGAGTACTGAATATCAACATTTCACAACCAGATAGATGACCAGGTCCTCGGAATAACCTCCTGCTACACCAGAACGGAAGTTTCTCTTGAAGTAAACGCGAAGGAGATTGCGGATCAACTTTCTGCTCATCAAAGCTGGCTGTGATAGTGAGATTTACGAACGCTATGACAAACCAGCTTTGATGCGAGAATCTTGTCCATTCGCGTCAGGGGCCGCCGCCACGATCGCAGTCGATGACAGTCACAGCCGCATGAAAGACAAGGTAGTGAGATGCAAGATCCAAAACTAACATCTCACTACCCATGTCTTTCACTTGGCAGTGACTACACTGATGTCGTAAGTTCTTCGTTTCTTCGCCTTTTACCAAATACTCTGAGTTCCAAAGATTATTATATACGCTATATTACAGCACTAATGAGGATGATAATTATGACGACACATAAATGAGCTGGTTCCGCTCTATTTTAAAGCGATGTCCAGCAGCTATCTGGACAGAATGAATAAAACTGCTGACGAACACCAAACAAATAAAGCAGTCAATCAAACCATGAAACTCTCAAATACAAAACAGGACAGCTAACCACTTAGACGTGGTATTTATCGGAAAGCATGTTCAAAACGACAATTCCCTGCCGCACACTAACTTCAAGTATGTGCAGTTATCAATTTGCATCAAGTTTTGTAAATTTCAGCATCTGATTAAGATTTGAGGTTTTCACAGCGGTCAGTATGAAGATTTCTGTCTTCTGGGTTGTTGCGCTGTGTAGTCTGGTCGACGTTAACCAACATTTCCAACGCCTCCGTCATCAGTATGACGTACCTGCAACTTTTAATCTGTGCACATGTCAGGCATTTTTCCGCTTTAATGCTTAGTGCACGGAAGGGCAACATGCGCTTTTGTACATGTTAAGAATGGCTGCAGTTACCAGAACTCCCAAATTTCTCAAAATGCCTTGTCTTGTCAACCACATTGCCACCCCCCGAATGTAATCCCTGCCGCTGATAAGTCATCATCACAATTTAAATACATAATTAAATCCAAGAACAATAATTTCTGCAACAGTGTCACTTTGCGGTAACAGACCGAAATCTATAACCAGACGTGAAGTCCGGCGAGACGTACAAAGCCGCGTAAGTGACGTTCCTTTAAACACAAGGAGCGCGTTTGCTTCGCACGCTGTGTGAACGCAAATCGAGCCATTATAACACAATGCTCTTACCGCAACAGCCCCAGGGTGGAAATCCACGAGGTGATCCATCTCGGTCAACATGAGGATCATGGGGCACACCTTCTGCTCCACCGCACTCTGTTCCACCAGGCCCTGTTCCATGAGCACCAAAAGCGCGGCTTGCGACATCTTGCGAACCTACCAACAACCAGCGTCATATCTGCATTTCGCACGTCAACATCCAACGTGCGTCTTAACCACACAGTAATATCTGGCTAAAATACTGATTATAAAAAATAAATAAAACCAATTTGAAATTATTTATAATTACTATGAACAGTCTGATATTAACCCAGGCACGAGAAGCGAGAGAGAAGACAACTTTCTTCCGGGTTTTCGTCATTTACAACTACCAGGAGAATCTGTTGACCAGCTACGCGTACTAATAACTTTTCAAGGGCCGTGCTCGATGCAGTCCTTCAGTTACACGCAGTTTTTTTAACCATCAATGAATAATTATTCTTTTCATATCTGAGGCACAAAGTAAAATAACAGCAAAAATGTATCCTACTTTTTAAAACACATATGGCTCAGCAAAGTACCTGCGTTGTGCCACGAGGTCTTTTGCCTTATACGAACATTCTGCAAAAGCACAGTGCATCCAACTTCAGGGAAAAAGTCAGACGTGCAAATTAGCAAATCCAGATATAAACAGAGCAAAACATGTTTCGCCCTAAAACAAAATCCTTCTTACCAGATTATCGTTGTCGGCTAGGCACTTGACGACCAGAGGCAACAGGTGGTCCAACACGACAGACTGAAGCCTGTCCTTATCCTCGTGGCACAGCATGGCGATGTGCGGCAACTGCGCCATGAGCTCGGCCCGCACCGGTGCATCTGCAATGTCATAATCGCTTGATCAAAATTATTGTCATAGTACGTGCATGGCAAAATAGGGGATTGGGTTAAATGTACGCCACCCTTCTTTTCAGAATTCATTGCCTTCCACTTTAGTATGTTTCTGCATCGCTCAAAATAGTCAGCATTCAGTTGATTCTTTTATATAAGATCTGACGTTTTCACAGCCCTGAGTCAGAAGATTTCTGTCTTCTGGGTTGTTGCGCTGTGTAGTCTGGTTGATGTTAACCAACGTTTCAGAGGTCATACTGCCTCCGTCATCAGGGCGATGAGTATGAAGATTTCTGTCTTCTGGGTTGTTGCGCTGTGTAGTCTGGTCGATGGTTACCAACGTTTCAGAGGTCATACTGCCTCCGTCATCAGGGCGATGAAGATATCCGTCTTCTGGTTTGTTGCGCTGTGTAGTCTGGTCGATGTTAACCAACGTTTCAGAGGTCATACTGCCTCCGCCATCAGGGCGATCGACCACACTACACAGCACAACAACCCAGAAGACAGCCATCTTCTGACTCAGGGCTGTGACAACCTCAGATCCATCTAAGAAGGTTTATGATTGTTGGTAAAAATCCATGTGGGAAACATTCGCCCTTTGCAAGAAACAATATTTTCAAAACCGCCTTTGAATTTTGCAGGTAACAACTACATTGGAACTTCGAACATCCTCGCCACAACATGGATGTAGAATTTTAGTTTCCTCCTGCAACAAACCCTTCCCTCTGCTGGCCACTTAGGCATCAAGCTGGCCTGCGATCTCCTTCTCTGGACTCATGCACACGAAAAATTACGAAAAGTTTCCCCAGACATAATAGCTGGTAATCCGGTTGAAAATATAACACAGTAAGAACAGTTTTTTAATCTTTTTTTCCAGATATTCATCACATTTGACCTTGAACAACTCATGGGCCACAAGGTTATGAAACGACACCTTTATTGAAACCCCAAGACAAACAAAAGTCGATCAGTAAGACATAACCTCATTCTTTTTAATTTTTAGCTACAATGTGCAGCCTGTGAGCTAAGAACCCTTGTTTTTAGATATTTGTAGTGTCAGGACTGACAAACAAGAGACAACACTGGACACATAACAGAAAACTTAAAAATCTTTAATTCTGTGGGGGCAATCGCAGTTCTTCCCGTGAAAAAAGAAAAACATCGTATTTTCTGGAACTAATCTACAGACATTTTGTCTTTCCCAAAAATCACGCAAATATACAAATATTCTTGCATTAAGCCATGGGGACGTGTGTGTGTTTGGAGGCAACGCTCAAATCATATACTACAGGCCTCGACACTAAATAACAAGCAACCAACCTCATGCTCCGTCCACTTTAACCCCTCAGAAAAGTCTTCCTACAAACCAATAGGTACAAGAAGCTTTATTTCCGTAAATCCCACTGAATGGTGACCTGCATGTGGCACATACGCGCGTACACTAGGGATGGTCCGTGAAGTGTAGTGAACGTACGACAGAAGGCACGTAGGGCAGGAGGGGGGGGGAGGGGGACGCGAGCGAACGAGCGGGAAATGGGTGGGGCGTGTTCATTGAGCAGCTGCTCGGATCAATACTCCCAGCATCCCAGCGAGCGACTCAACACCCGTACGTAGTACGGCGCCAACTCTGCGGTGATCGTAAGTTACTAGAACCACACCAGAGAGCTCCCGCCCGCCATTGGTACGATTGTCAGTTATTTTTCCCAAGATGCACTTCGCCTCCCATACATAACCTATACCGCCTGGGAGATGACATAACCACGAAATTAGACTTCGCTAATACCGAAAGCAGATAAATTGAGGTAAGTATAAACATGGCTTTTTTTTGGCTTGTCGCCCTGATTATGTAGGTAAAAAGCACCCCTCGGTAAATTTCTGCCCCAGGCAACATACCAGAAGACAGCCATCCATCGACAGATTTATTTAACTCAGAAAACACAATCGTATGAGACAGTGGACACCTTTGGCTACTTCAAATCGTCACGACTTTTCCAACACGCATTTTAATATTGTACTCCCCTTCAAGTGTTCTTCATACGGCGGCTTAAGGAAAGACTTTCAACAAAATTATGTACAGCTTTATTGTTTCCTACAAATATTTATAATACACCCAATGCTTTTCACAAAAGATGGGACAATCATTAAATATCTCACTAATTGCCAACTTTTTAAAGAAAAAAAAACCTAATTTACTTTGGCCCAAACATTTTAATGACAGTCATTCATCTAAAACCAACTTAGAGCGCACTTTTCACCCACTGTTACCAACACACAGAATTCGAAACTGGGAGAATAACAGAACCAAATTAACCGCCATGTTTGTGTTCTGCGAACAGCACAAAAATTTTTCTAAGTGTTTTCGAAATTTTGCTTCGTACTTGCCTCGGTGACGTCTGGCACAGACAAGAATGTACCGATGACAGGAAAAAACGCCTAGTACAAACATTTCCTACGAAACAGCAGTACTCAATTACACGACATCCAAACCCAGATCATAATCGACGCTTCTGATAGCCGTGAGAACATAAAACGAGACAGTTCAATACCGTGTTCACGACAGCCTTCACTAGACCTTAATCCCCACTCGTATGAATTAATTCACCCTTAAAGCCTACCAACCCCGCGCTTAAACAACCAACCATTTTGTGTGTCTTCAGATTTCGTAAGATTCTCCTTTTAAACAGCATTAACCAATTATCTTTGATTCTTTGCGATTCAGACCAAGCATTTAAATATTATTTACGTAATGTTCGGCCATCAAAATTTTAATACCCACAGCCCCAAAGTTTAATCTCATTCTCTTTAGGTTTACCGTGGTGAAATACAAATTACGAACATATACAGCGTGTTCTCAAATTATTATATGAAATTTAAAAACACGCCTTTCACATTTTTACTCTAACACCTGTTACAGAGACAGTCGCTTGCTTGCGAAGTATGTTGTAGTGATGGATTATCCGTCTTCGTGGTGTGGACTATTGAATTATCTTCTCTTCCCACCCTTTCTTCAATGCAATTTAATAAAGTAAGGGAACCAGTTGTTGTGGATCAATTTTTCTGGACGGTGAAATATTACATTTTCCGGTGGCTGTCTCAATGTAGGATTTAAGCTCGCAAGAATCTCAAGTGCGCATTGCACAGTTCATGACGACGACATGTCTAGAAAGCAATCTTTTTTTGCTAGAAAACAAAATATTTCTTGTTTAGAAACGCAGTTTAAAATACGCACAGGATAGGAACATCGGAACACAGCACGCAGTCCTCTACTAAGATCCTGCGAAAGGTAAATGTGAACTGGTGGAGTGAAAATTTCCCTGTAAGGCGAGACATTACAAAACAAAATGCCCGCCGATTAAAATAATTAATGTCTACCGGACGTCAAAACACTTGTGGGTCTCTGAACGTAGAAGACTTCCAAAGACCCCTTCCAACTTACAGATTTACACTGACCCGACAAATTTCAAAGCGAAGATTACTGCCTTCTGGAAGGAACTGACCTACGTTTCAGATATGAGTAATGCCTCCATCATCAGGGAGACGACTCATCGAACGTGTGAAAAGTCAGCCAATTTCTGTCAAGAAAAAGTTTCATTACAATGTTCTCAAATTACCACTAGACTAAGCAAATTCTTGTAATCCTAGCGACTGATCTCATATAGAACCAAAACATTTAAATGTAAGAATAAAAAAACTATAAAAATAGACACGGACACGTGATTAGAAGAGGCGAACTCCGAAGCTGGGCAAAAATACGTAACGATTCTGCTGATACGTCAGTATATCACTGACCTCGTCGAACCACGTGACGCACTGTACGGAGGAAAACCACGGAAACGATTACGAAGCGTTGCCCGCGAGATTACGAGTCGAAGGATAAAAGTCTGTCTGTCGTATTTCGTGTCGGGAGGTCGTCGTGGAGCCAGAGACGGACGGGACTACAGCAACACGATCATCGTTGAAACGCAGAGAGTGGCCTCCAGCCGAGAGATGGGGCTGTTACATACAGAGAGAGAGACCCCACCCCGCCATCCAGCTCGCAGGCTCCCTATCGATTACCGATATCGCGTTGCCAGGTCAGGAACGAGAGGGGGGCGAAGTGCACAAGAAACGCGTTCCTTGACCCCTCGCGTTTCTTCCTGATGGGATTTCGCTTTCGTTTCCACGGCGAACCTCACATGCTTGCCACAGAAGTGCCAACGTAATCCATTTAGACAACACAGATCGAACTGTGTTCTTCGCCGCTCACTTGCTACGAAATAATCCAACGCCGCTAAGTCAAAACACGTAACAACGCCCTTATATGCACAACACGTAGAAAAACGTGTCTTACGAAAGCTGTAGATCTTAACCCTAATTACATGTACCACCTGATTTAATAATTTATAAATTCATTTTGAAAAAAAAAAATATAAAAGTTCATTGGCGTGTTTCGCGAGATTAGGACAAACAACCAATTCATCTTTATAATAAAGACCCCCAGTGTTTTCTTTGATACAATAACTGAATTTCTAAATATTAATCACGCGGACCTCGTCTTCAAAAGGAGAGAGAAGATTTACTAAGTCCTACTTTACTTTTCTGCAAACAAACATTTTTCTCTATTGCCACGAGGCAGATGGTTCGATTATCTTACGACAAAAACTCCATCACAGGTCGCATTAACGATTTAGAAAATTCTCTACAGAGTTGACACCAAAGATTCTGTCTTCATGAACACTGAAGTAAATGAAATTAAAAGCCATCGCTCTCGACTAAATTTCTTTTCTATGACGACTTTTAGTCGAGGTTTCATAAGGCCTCCTATCCGAATGATTCACAAAACCTCGACAACAGAGGCCAAAGTTCATATACAGCGAACAAACTCGAAGACGTAATACTTTTGAGATCTCTCACGCCAATAACTCGATAAAAACCACTGGGACAAGAAGGACCTTGGACGACTGGATCAACCAACTCCACACGTCGTAAGAACATTAAGCCTGGAGGAT